AGCAGTGCCAGCTTTCCCTCCCCAGCTGCCTGCACTTTTCCATCACCTCTCATCAGCCTCATTAAGGCAGCAGACCACCAGGTTCAGATTTGGAGCTGAAGTACCCTATGGAGCAGGAGCAGCCAAAGACTGAAAATTCGGATTTTGGGAGCATCACCCACAATTTCAACCCATCCAGAGCCAGGCCAGAGTTGTCATGAGCTAAAGAAAAACCACAAGGACTTTGGGGAAGAAATTTTTTTTTTTTTTAATTTGTGATTAAGTAAAGGATTTAGCTGGTAATAAAATGAAAGCAGAAATCTTTTAGGAGCCTGTGCTACTGCAGCCCTGCTGCTGCCAGCACTGAGAACACAGACACATTACCACCATTATTGATTTTTGATTTGGGGAGTTTAATTGATTAAACAATTACCCAGCAGACCTTACCCTGTGTTGAGCATTTGTCAAAGCCTGTCACCTCCCTTCAAGTGGGTGATGCTCTGTGAGGTGAAAAGTGGCTTGAAGCCAGCAAATCAACTCATCCCACAAATCCCCTACAAAGGGAATCTCCAGAAAGCCTCCACAAGCACGAGAGCAAAGAACAGCAGCAGAAACAACTGCTCAGCTCCTGCTCTTGCAAATGCCTGCTGTGATGTGAAATAATCATGACTTCACAATTCTGTGAGAAACGTGCAACCAAAATATTGGTTGCAAAAAGGAAAATCCTTTAAAAACACGTAAATCACAAATCCTGGTAGTTTTTATTATTTCTGAAGTGTCAAATTATTTCAAAGAGGGACTTTGGAGAAGTTTGTGGGAGGAAAAAAAAGCAGAATAAGGCAAAACCCCAAGCTCCCCCCAAAGCAGGGACACTCAGGATGTGGCTGATTTCCACACCCCACTTTGGACAGGACAAATCCACTCCCTGGAACTGATTTCCAGTAAGATGATGTTTGTTCCCACTCATTTATTTTTAATACAATGGCAAACTCATTTCATATTTAATGATTGTTTCATGAAAAAAATCCTGTTTGGTATTTCAAAGAGAACCATTTTTATCAGCAGTGCAGTAACTGGGTTTATTACCTCAATCGAGCAATGTGTTCTCTAGAGCCAGACCCCTTGAAATCCTCCTGGATTTGTGTTTCACTGATCCATTCAGGAAGGGTGGAATCCAAATGCCTGAGCCAGCAGCTTTCCTGCCTTGAAACCTCCTTCTGGATACCCACATCAAACGTTTTACTGCTTCTTAATAACTCATTTATTAGCAAGTGACTGCTACATTTCATTAATAAGTTTTAAAATGTCTCACATAAAACATCAAGCAGCTTAGATGGTATTTTTACTCATCATTAAGATTTTGCAGGGTCCTGATATTCTGTATGAATTCCATATATGGAATTAGCTGTGTTTTTAGCTATGTTTTCTCCATAAAATCTCAGTTGTTTTATATTTCACTGCAAATTTTCAGCCTGGGATAGTGGAAGGTGTCCCTGCCCATGGCAGGGGTGGAATGGGATGAGCTTTAAGGTCCCTCCCAACCCAAACCATTCCAGGATTCTGTGATAATTAATTGTGATGGGCTGATGCAACGTGCCAATTCAGGGAAGCAAATTCAGGTTTTCAGAAGATCCAAGAAGCCATGCAGGCCCCACAAAGAAAACACTGAACAACCTTTAAAAATATAATAAAATAGAGACGGCAAAAGCCTCTCTTTTAAGATAAGATCAGGCAATTGTACATGGAGTTAAAGGAGGGCAAAGCTGAAAATGGAAGTGTTTGTTTGCCATGCTCATGAACAAACCGTGAATTCATTGTTTGCAGCAACCTCTGGAGTAAGCAGAGGGGAAAAGGGAACTCAGCTAAGGGCACTTTTCCCATCACATAAATCCAGCAGTACAAGTGTTTGATGTCATGATGCTAACCCATGTATTTCAGAGTGTGAGAGATCACCTGATGAGATTTCATGTCCACTGCTCATTATTATTTCTGCACAGACAGAAGGTGTGTTTGCTGGGGCATTTTAACAGGATTATAAAAACAAACCAATCCAAAATGAACACGTAAGACACGATTCTGTTATTCTGTGCCATATAATAATAAATGAGTGCCACATAAATTCTGTTATTACACTAGAATAATGAGTGCCATGGCCATGCTCAGCACCAGGGGTTGCTGACTCAGGATGGGATCTCACACCTGATGTTTCCACAGGTGCTGAAGGAGCAGGGAAGCTGCCCCACCGTGCCCATCATGGTCACCTCCTGCTTTAGGTGTGTCCCCACGCTGAGCACAGGGCAGCTGGGGACTGCTGTGCCAGCCTGGGGACTCCAAACCCTGCCTGGAGCAGCACAGCCTCACATGGGCTCCCAAGGGGCTAAAATACCTCTGAGCCAGAGCTGTGAAAGCAAGAGAAAAGAGATCCAAGAGATACCCACGTAAATAATCCTCTTGCAGTGAGTTTCTGTCTGCACACAGCTCCCAGGGTATCATTTCAATTGCTGTCACTGCTCCCACCCTTTTCAAGAGCATTCTCTGCTTCCTGAGACACAATTAAGGGCAGATCATTAGAGTCTGCTGTTTAATGACTCAGAGAAAAAGGCCTGGCCTGGCCTGCTTTTCAGTCCTGCTCTGAGAGCCAAAAGTCCTTGCTGGTCCTGCACTCAAAATGAAACCAATTCTTTGAATTGTACCCTCAGAGCCTGATGTTCTAATTAAGCTGGACAATTAACAACAGGATTTTATTCCACTGCCTTCATGTTATTCCTCTTTTCCTTCACTTGCCCTCCCAGTCAGCTGCCTGGTCCTCCAGTAGGGTTCCAGACTCCTTGGAATGATATTCCCTCCTTCTGACTGCACGAAACTCACCTTTTATTCAGGCCTGTTGAATCTTTTCACAGTAACAACCACAACTTTGGTGCTTTTAAAAACAACTTTTTTTTCCCCCTGGGATTTTTGCTAGAAAAGATAAAAACTTCTCTTACCCAGAGTTTCCTTCTGCAGCTCACGGCACCGACTCTGGAGCTCGTTCCCCTGCTGAAGGGACGTTTGGAGCTGCTGAGTTTTCAGCTCTACTGTGTCAGCCACCTCAGTGAGGTGCTTGACCTTCTCCTGGAGACACTCGTTCTCCCGCTGGGATTTTGCCAGTCTTTGGTTCAGTTTGGGTATTTCTGAGGAGGCAAAACAAACCCATGCAGACTGTTGCTATTTTACGCTAATCATGAACAAGAACATCAGAGCTTTTAAATGGCTTTTAAATATTGGGTTAAATTGTTTTGATGTAGAAAGCTGGATTTGAGGATGGGTGTGATATTCCTGGTGTGGCACTAGTCTGAAGTGGGAAATGTTGGATGAGGGATACAGAGCCTGTGTAAGAAAGGCTCCAGTCCTGCTTCCACACAGATCCTCTGCATATTGGGAGTACTACAACAAACAGAACAAGGAATACTCCAGAAAAGAAGCCTTGAAATGTGTGGGTCCCTCTGAGGCTGAAGATGTCTGCAGAGACACGTGCTGCCATTCCCTC